CCCCCCCCTTTGCAAGTATTTTTTTATCTTTTCATGAACACAGAGTCGTAAAATCGCTTTTTGTGAAAACAACGCGAAAATTAAATATCCGGTGAAAAGCGACATGTGAAAAATAATATAATATTACTCGTCGCGCGAAAATATCCACTTCACGGTCCACGTCGTTGGTCTCTCGCGGGCGAATTTCATCATACCTGTATTTAACGTGCAATCGAACGTAAGATTATTCACGACGAGGAATAAAAATATACCCCGGAAGAGCGTAATAGGGCGCAACAGCGGAATAAATCGCGTCCCTGCTGTTCGCCGTAACAAAATATTTTTCCCCGTCCTCGCGCCGGCGTAACTACTATGTTTGTTAACCATTTGTTAGCAAAAACACCCGGCGGCGCGCGATCTTGTCGGTATCGGCGAAAAACTGGCGAAAACGCGATTTTTCCGCGCGATTGTCGACGAAAAAAAATTATCCGCTGCGGACAGGATTCGAACCTGTGCGGGCATAGCCCATCAGATTTCGAGTCTGACTCCTTAACCACTCGGACACCGCAGCTCATGACTGCCTCGTGTTGTTTAAGCGACTTGCCCAACAGTTAACAACACCCCATGCAATTAACAATTGCATCGTACATTTCGAATTTGATTTTACTGGTTTTGTAACGTTGAGAGCGCGAAAATAGCTTAGTTTCGTTTAGAGTAATGGAAAAACAATTTCAGGAGAAGAGAAATGGATTCATAAAAGTAAGACATAAAAGTAAGATTTATAAAAGATTAACGTAACCTACTAAAAATATGTATTTTCTGGAAATAATTTTGCAATAAAAAATTAAACAACCGAATATTTTGAGACATTACATATTTATTATGCAACTATTAAACGCTATATCCACAATTATTTTATTAAGAACTACAAATATATATGTAATAAATGGCCAAACTCACGAGTGCAGAAAATGCCGTTGTAATCGGCGGCCAAGATGGCGTTTACCTGAAAACATAAAAAAAATCAAAACGTTTCTTAGATAATATGCTTATGGATGGAGAATGAACCTAAATTTAAATCTGTAGAGTATAAAAATTTCCAATTTCTTTTGCTATTTCGCTTTAACTTCAAATAATATTAAGTTTAATGTTTCTCTGAATTATTCAGATTCGTTATCAGAAGACACGTGTTTACTATTGGAGATAAACACAACTTCAAATCGATCGGTTAGTCATCGAGTTCTCGAGTTGTCTTTCATTATTTGGAAAACACTATTTCGAGAAAGACATACTTAAAGATTGAGAAGTTTCTCGAGACGTAATATCAAAATTTTGCTGCTTACCTCGGGGCGTCTATTCCTGGTCCATGCATCAAGCCCTCAGCTTTCTCGTGGAACTCGTTTAGGGTAGTTAATTTCTCCCTTCTCGACTTTCTTGCCACGGTAGCTTGAGATGCGCGCAGGCTCGCCATCTCAAGATGCAACGTGGAACGGTATCCATCATTAAAAGTGGAAAGTACTATTTTTGCAGCTATTTTAATTATTTTTGGATCACAGTATATACGTGTCTAAAAACATCCAAATGTTTTGAAACTACAATTTGAAACTACAATTTTAATTACTGTTTTGACTTTGCTATTCTCTGCCACTTATTTGCTATGTTCTTCTTTCAAGACTTAAACCGCTCGTAAAATTGTTTACATTGAGTCCATCTACCCGCGCGCAGCGTGAGCCGTATTTTCCTGCTGTGCACTATTCGTTTCAGAGTCCGCGTAGCACAGTAATTTTCCGGAACTTCACCAGACTACGTTAGAGGCATATTTTCAAGAGTATAACGGGGTTACGAAAAATGCAAAAGGAAAATTCGGTTTTTTTGAACCGTCGGTCCGACCTCATAATGCGCGCTCGAATGGGACGCTTGGGAAAATTTGCGCCGTCTCGCAAAATTTGCGGAACACACCGCCATCTTCATCGCCGCCGCTGATCTATTTTGCAGGTGCAGTGAGACCCGCATGCCCCATTCAAACCCCGCACTGCCCCTCGCAACCGTGCATGCACGGTGGCCACTGTCTCGAAGGGTGGAATCGATTTCATTGCGACTGCACCGGCACGCCTTTCACCGGACCCACTTGCGGCAAAGGTATGATATTTCATTTTAACTGAGTTATGTAGAAAGAGAGACGCGGGTCCCTCTCCGACGTCTCTTTAAATTAGGGATGAGAAGTATATCGGAGGTTTGCGAGAGGCAGGATTGTCGATGATTTCATCGGCTTGGCGGGCGAGACATTTTGCAGATATAGAATTAAACAACTTTGCTACTTGAAAAGTAGCAGATAAAGATAAATAAGATGCAAATAGCCATGCCTCCGGACGCATGCCTCACTTTAAACACCTTTCGTCGTGACGGTCTTTAATTTGAAAATTCAAATATTTAGATTAATTATAATTAACTTAAAATTTAAAGCTAATCATAATTTCAATGTAAAACAAAAATGTTTTTTTTTTAATTCACAAATTTATTTACATGAATTTATACTTTTTATAAAATAATTAATTACTTTATCTGTCGGTATAATGGGGCGAGAATTTTCTCATTTTCTCATCTTGCAGTAAGAAATAACGAATTTGTAAGATTAATTATATCATTTTAAATTATAAGAAAAACTGAAGTAATTTTTTAGTTAAAAAAGATATATGTAAAATGTAAGTTTAATTTGTAAACTTTATTGGAAATTCATTATATAATATCTATTTATTTAGATGTTCGTTAGATTTTATCAAATATTTTGTTTATTAAATAGGTATTTTATTATTTAACTTAATACTTTTAATAAATTTAATAACACTTATTTTGTTCATTTTATTGAAGATTCCACATTTTAAAGTTCATTTATTTAAATGTCCATCGTGTTTTATCAAACCTTTTGCTTGTTAAATAATTGTAAAAACTGATATTCATTTGCATTTATTTCTTTTCAACATTCTCGCATAAAATACTTCCAACTAGCCAGAAATTGTTGCCTTACTTTGATTGAACATGGCATATATTGTTTCGTTACTATTAATTAAAGAAACATGCCGAAAAACCCAAGAAACTTTAGCAAGCCAGTAACACTTCCCATGTTCTTTGGACTGACTTTCATCTCTCTTTCTCAGACTTAGACTAACAATTTACGTTGATGTTACGCTTATTACAGACGCCTCGACACTGCATCTGAACGGCACGCAACAGTTGACCGCGTTGATGCCGGAGGATTCTAGGACGCAGGCGGAAGAGGTCATCGTGCGATTCAAGACGACGCGGCCGCGCGGGGTTCTCTTAGCGACGAGCCTGGAAAACAGCTCCGATCGCTTGCAGATCTACCTGGAAGAAGGCAAAGCGAGGATGCTGATCCACATCGGCGATCGAGAAAAGGTAAGTTTGCGATGAATTTTCTCTGGCTCTTCGACCATGAGAATAACGACAATGTGGTCGACATTATGATGTTTTCGTATATCGTTTAATCACGTATAAGATATAATTAATTATATTCAAGCAAATTAATCCTACGGCCAATGGAGAGCCAGTAAAATAAAAAGATAGAAAATATATGCATCTTAAATTAAGTTTTCTTAGCGAATCAATTAATCACTTTTGTAGAATCGCGAATTTGACGAAAGTGAAACAAGAGTCGGTAAGAACCAGACTTAATAGCGGCAGAATGAAGTCGCTCGAGACAACGTAACGCACGTGCATGTTGCAGAATCGATGAAAGCCGACATGACGCGTCGCTTATCGAGCGCAGGGCGCAGGCTCTCGTGGAATTATCGCGTTGTATTTCGCACGCGGAAATTCAACGCCGTGGCGTCAGGACGCACCGTGTCAGAGCCGGGTCTCGGCGCGAACGCCACGCGCCCCCGGGCGTCGCTCGAGATATCTCGCGTTGTTGTTGAAAGGGCGAGATATTGAATTTGGACGAATTTTATCCACTTAACGTCAACTGAGCGCACACTCGCAAGTTAAAGGACCGCGCGCGCGGTCGACGAGGATTTACATTCCCGGAGCGTCCTCGACGCCGAGCGTCGGGGGTGGCTGCGGCGCGCCGACGGCCCCGTTGCCGACGCCGCCGCCGCCGCCCCATGTTAGCGACGTGAATCGTCTTCCCGTTGCGACAAGAACGACGTCGTGACGTTAACTTAATACGTCATCCCGCGGCATTCGCCGAGCAAATGACGGGCGGCCCTTATAACCCTTGCCGTGTAACGGAATATTCTTTCTCACGGAGTCGCTCGGAGAACTTTTACCAGGTGGGGAATCGATAGGGGCCGTCGCGAGTGAAAAATTCTTGCCGCTCGGAATTTCACTCCGCCGACGGCGAAGTAGACGGCGAGACGCCTGCAGAGAGTAGTGACGGCGCAACGGCGGCAGCTGGACTAATCAAAATTCGACTCGAAAGCGTAAGCACGTCAGACAGATCGCGTCCTTGTCACTACGATGCCAATCACTCTTCCGACCGACGGCTGACGGTGCTTTTATTCACGTGTCCCTGCGCGTTTGTTAAATCTTGCGATTGATTTGTTTCTTGTCAAAAGAAAGTCAATTGCGCCCTTCCTCGCTCGCAAACCGCGCTTTTCAAAAAGCAGCTCCGCGACCATCTGGCGGAAAAGTGCCGGAAAGACTTAGGAGAAACCGGGGCTAAATGGCCCATATTTCAGAATATTTCGAAGTTGCAACTTCTCAGACAACTCATTGTCGTGCACTGAGAGAAAAAAATAGTTGGAATAACTATAATTTCATTATATTTTATAGTTCGTTTTGGCCTCAAACACATATTTATAGTTCATCTAAACATGAAGATATAGTAGAATAAACACAGATTTATAGTCACCATCTTATTACTCTATATATATGGTAAAGCGCCTTTTGGGAATGTAGTTAGATGTACCTATATTTGCCAAATATTCCAATTTTATTGACTATATAAAATAGTTAATTTCTCTTACCATTCAATATTTGCTACCTTACTATATTTTTTATTTCAAATAATTATAATTCCTGGTAAAAATTTTACACCAGTCAGTTATACTATGCTTACATTGTAAATATTACAAATATTATGGTAATATTTATTATAAAAATTATATTCCTAACTATAATCTTTTTACTATGCCATTATAATTCCAAATATCATACATTTTTCTCTCAGTGTGTCTGACCGAACAAACATGAGAGAGGCAATCTTTTACTACGTGTCAATGTCGGCCACGATCCTCTTAACCCTTGTTTTGTATTCACCAAAATACAAACACGCGGCAACGAGGCCATCTTGTCCTGGCATCGGGTTCAGTTGCTTGATAGAGCGCAGAGTAAGAGAGCCACATATAAAGTATGTATCCCGATTAGTGGTTCCGAACTCTTCGCGAGAGGTCCATACAGTCCTCCTATCGACCGAAAATTTAAAACTAGTTTGAAATTAATTGAAAATTGATTAGAAAATCGCAATCTCAAAAGAAAAATTCTGCAACTTCTTTTCTACCGTTTCTCTCACGGTCATCTCCCTGTACAGTAAATTTATTTACTGTATCTTTGCTGTATCTTTGACAATCCAATCGTCGACGAGTTGAGCTTTCATCGACGTGCTAATTACACGGTTCGACCGCCCGAGATGAGAAAAACGACAAGTCTCACGGTATTTCCTCGTGAGTGTAATTGGAGACACGCGGGATAACGTCACGACGACGACGACGACGGCGGCGACGATGTCACGACGGCGACAGCGTTCCGTACGTTCGCGTCTCCGCAGATATTCGTTATTTAATCAGTGCGCTCGCTGCGCTTCGTCTCGGGCTGTGCATATGCATTCGCGCGCGCGTGTATGTGTGTGTGCACGCGTGTACGTGCGACGCGCGCTGTCATATACGCGGCTTACGTATGCTGAAACAACATTCTGTGCCGACGAGCATCGCTGGTAAAATTCACGGCGAAGCGGCACGTCGCGTCGCCCCGTCTCGACGTGTAGCGCAGCGTCGCCTCGCCATTTCGTTATTACGATCGCCGCTCGACGTGCACGTCCGTCTGTCTTCCTGTACGTCCATCCGCCTACGTTCTCCTTTCCGCTCATTCCGATTTGCCAGCTAAGGTTGCGCCGGCGTCTTTCCCGCCGGAAACACCAGCTACCCGAATATTCGCGGACCCTCGCGAACTCTCCGTCCCGGGGAACGTTGGTCTCCCCAGCAGGGCGCCTTGAAAATACACAACGCCGGCCGGGCAGCTGCTGAGACTCCCCTCTCGCGAGAAGATCGTCCCCATTAAAGCGCGGCCGGAATTTCGACGCGAGAAACGTCAAGAGATCGGGAAAAAGAGTGCGCCGCCAAGGTCGCGGAAAAGCGGCTTCCGCCGCTGCTCCATCGATCGTTTTCCCGGGAGCCAAATGCATTTCTGAATGCACCCCCTGTGTGCAAGCCCTCTCGTTCACGCAATCTCCCAACTCGCCGTGCTCTGCCGTACACAGCCGCGTGCACGTGGAAATACATAACCAATTCTGCAATCGCGACGTTTCCGCTCGGGCGAACGGTAAATCGTCCGATTCGATTTCGCGGCTCTCTCATTAGATGCCGGCACAAATACGCGATCTTCTTTTTTTTTGCACGGCCGTCGCTTCCTTCGTTTCCTTGCGCCGCGTATTCGCATTTACGGACGCATTCGACCGCCAGCGATCATATGAACATGGTGCTCGCCGTGGCGATTTCTCTTGGATACACTGGATGAAAGAAAAGAAAAAAAAGAAAGAAAGATAGCGTCGAAAAACAACTCGAATTGAGTTAAACGAACTTAATTTCACGAGGCGAACTAACTGGTCTAATTTTTTCGGCGAAATTTCGTGTTCGTTCAATCTCTTGTTCGCGTAAAACGAGCTCAAAATTCAGCTCAATAAAGCGATCATGAGCTTGAACCAACAAATCACTGGTCATATCTATCGTACGGTGTACTTCACCTTTCAAGCATAGGTAGAAGTCATTTTTATCATATAGGTTAAACCAGTCTTTCGGTACACGCAGAGAGAATATTGCAGTTTTTTTTTTCATATAATATTTTTCAGTTTTACTGTACTTTTAGCAATGTTGGAGTAGATTGCACGCGTTCGAATAGCCGACAAATAATTTCAGTAAAATTGACGTATATTCTATGTGTCGCTATACATAGAAAGATGCATGCTACACTCAAACATTCAATTGTTGCTTATTTCAAGCGTTTTGCGTAAGTTTATACATCCAAATCTATTATAAGTTTGTCACGAGTTTATCAAATTTATTGAAAATACATTCCGAATCTTAAGGAGTTTCGCATTTCAATCAAGAATATTAAATCAAGTCAAACATTCGGTTTATTAAAGTCGAACCAACTTTCTCTTGGATAAAGTTTTATGATATCCTTGTAAAGAGAATAAATTCTCTCTTGAGGTAATGAGCTTTCTTTTAAAATTTACATTAAGTATGTTTGAAGATATATATTATCAAGGATATATTATAAAGAAAATATTTTTTATTGAAGATAAATTTTTATTTAAGATTTTTTTATTTCGAATTTGCTTTAAAGGAAAAGAGTAAACTGAGTAATCATTTCTCTTAGCAGTGGAATCGTATTTTTTTTGTATAGGAATAAAATGGGCTTCTTTTTAATTTGCATTAAGTATATTTGAAGATGTATATTATCAAGGATATATTATGAAGAAGATATTCTTTATTGAAGATAATCTACTTCAAATTTGCTTCAGAGGAAAAAAGTAAACTGAGTAATTGTTTCTCTTAACAGTGGAATCGTATTTTTTTTTTTTATAGGAACAAAATGAGCTTCTTTTTAATTTGCATTAAGTATATTTGAAGATGTATATTATCAAGGATATATTATGAAGAAGATATTTTTTGTTGAAGATAATCTACTTCAAATTTGCTTCAGAGGAAAAAAGTAAACTGACTAATCGTTTCTCTTAGTAGTGGAATCGTATTTTTCTCTGTGTATGAACGGAATTGTCACCTCGATTTGGCGCTACTGAGCAACAGTGGCATTGCAGTGGCACTGCGAGGCGAATCAACCACGACATAATCCATCGCGTGCGCTGTGTTGCCGCGTATATGAAAGTCTCAGATACTGCAAGTCGAATTAACAGTCTTGAGCCGAAGTCATTTGGAAGTCTTGTACGCGCGAATGAGGAACCGCGTGCACGCGTGCGCGCGCGCGTGTTCGGTAATTTACGGTAATGTTTCAATCTCTGTACCTACACGAACTCGTTAATTGGACGGAATAATTGATACGATAATGCGGCGCTCGACGATTAGTCTACGGAAAACCGGATTTCCACCGTGGAGTTTCTCCCACGAAGTTCGCGAACGCCGGCGAAGATTTCAATCGCGCCCGGTCGCTGATTATACCCAGCT